TCTGATCTGATCTGAATCTTTCTGATCTGATTTGATCTGATCTGATCTGAATCTTTCTGATCTGATCTGATCTGATCTGAATTTTTCTGATCTGATCTGATCTGATCTGAATAAAATAAGAATAAGCAATAAGTAATAAGAATAAGACGAACAGAACAGCACCTAAATCCGGTATGATAAAAGTTTAGAGCGAGCGACGAGGAAGATATAATAACACAAAGATACTAAGAAGCTGTTCCGTTCGTCTTAATCTTATTACTTATTCCTTAATCTTATTTTATTCAGATCAGATCAGATCAGATCAGAAAGATTCAGATCAGATCAGATCAGATCAGAAAGATTCAGATCAGATCAGATCAGATCAGAAACATTCAGATCAGATCAGAAAGATTCAGATCAGATCAGCAACATTCAGATCAGATCAGAAAGATTCAGACCAGATCAGACCAGATCAGAAACATTCAGATCAGATCAGAAACATTCAGATCAGATCAGATCAGATCAAAAAATTCAAACATGATTTATCACTTTTATTATTATATTAATTATGATTATTATATTATAGTTATTGTTAATAATATTAATATATTAATATAATAATATTATTAATAACAATATAATAATAATGTTAATAATATAAAATTATTATTATAATAATATAATATAATATAATATAATATAATATAATATAATATAATATAATATAATATAATATAATATAATATAATATAATATAATATAATATAATATAATATAATATAATATAATATAATATAATATAATATAATATAATATAATATAATATAATATAATATAATATAATATAATATAATATAATATAATATAATATAATATAATATAATATAATATAATATAATATAATATAATATAATATAATATAATATAATATAATATAATATAATATAATATAATATAATATAATATAATATAATATAATATATTTATAATTATAATTATAATTATGATTTACAATGTAATTATAATTATAATCATCATTATTATTAATATGATTGTTGTTCTTGTTGTTATTTTTGTAATTATTATTACTTCGGAGTAATTATATATTTAAATTAGTAATTATAGATATAATTATGATTATAGAGATAAATATTATAATTATAATTACAAAAAAAATTATAAAATTAATCATAATTAAAAATATAATTACATTTATAATTGTATCTGTATTTATAATTAGTGTAATTGGTATAATTATTATAATTTTAAATTTAATTTTAATTATTATTTTTTTGTAATTATGATTATAATTGTAATTTTATTTAAGTTATATTTTTAATTACAATTATAAATCTAATAATTATAATTATAATTACAATTATAGAAATATTCAAATCAGATCAGAAAGATTCAGATCAGAAGAATTCAGATCAGATCAGAAACATTCAGATCAGATCAGAAACATTCAGATCAGATCAGATCAGATCAGCAACATTCAGATCAGTTCAGCAACGTTCAGATCAGATCAGAATGATTCAGATCAGATCAGAAAGAATTAGATCAGATCAGATCAGATCAGAAAAATTCAGATCAGATCAGATCAGATCAGAAAAATTCAGATCAGATCAGATCAGAACTTAAAAAATTCAGATCAGAAACATTCAGATCAGGTGAACGGAACAGCTTCTAAGATAGGAGAGCAGAAAGTATAAATCAAACACTTTAAGTTTGATATTTTTTAAAGTATTTTTTAAAAAAACTAGAATAATAAAAATTAAAAAATAAAATTTAAAATCAAAAACTTTAAAATTAAATTAAAAAAATGGATTAAAAAATTTTAAAAATATAATAAAGATATGGAGGCCTTTCCCACAATCTCGGCCCCATCCCAACCGAGACTCCACTATTCGGCTAAAAATGTCATTTTCTGAAAAAATTACCATGTATGTCACGAAACAAGCTTAGTCACCAAAATCAACTCTCAAGCATCTTCATTGATGTCCGTCTTGGACCAAAATGTCCTCCAGAAGCATAAGAATGATAAAATTCTATGATATGAGCTATCTCATATTTAGGGATGCATCTTCGGATGATTTGATCCTTACAATGCTTCCACAAATATGGGTCATCCCATACATAGTTTTTTGAATCCTTTTGAGTTTTTCTATTTGAGATTTTGAGAGTTCTAGAGGAAATTGCCGGAAATAAGAAAGTTTACTAGATTGGCATACCATGGTTATCGATCATGTCAAAGTAAACTAAATTATTTGTTTTAGTTTTTTCCATAAAGGTGAAAGAGAAGTTGCATTGAACTCGAATGTAAAGTTCTTCAATTGGCCGTAAAGCACAAGGTGTTGCATTTAAAGTCTACCTATGCCTCTAATTTGAGAGAAAAAAGCACTTGTAACACCCAAATTTTGGAAATGTTTGTAAAGTTTGACTAAGGTTGTTTTTACTTGGACTGTAATTCGTCCCAGACCAGACCAGACCAGACCAGACCAGACCAGACCAGACCAAAACAGACCAGACCAGACCAGACCAGACTAAAACAGACCAGACCAGACCAGACCAGACCAGACCAGACCAGACCAGACAATATTTTATTATTATTATTATTATTATTATTATTATTATTATTATTATTATTATTATTATTATTATTATTATTATTATTATTATTATTATTATTATTATTATTATTATTATTATTATTATTATTATTATTATTATTATTATTATTATTATTATTATTATTATTATTATTATTATTATTATTATTATTATTATTATTATTATTATTATTATTATTATTATTATTATTATTATTATTATTATTATTATTATTATTATTATTATTATTATTATTATTATTATTATTATTATTATTATTATTATTATTATTATTATTATTATTATTATTATTATTATTATTATTATTATTATTATTATTATTATTATTATTATTATTATTATTATTATTATTATTATTATTATTATTATTATTATTATTATTATTATTATTATTATTATTATTATTATTATTATTATTATTATTATTATTATTATTATTATTATTATTATTATTATTATTATTATTATTATTATTATTATTATTATTATTATTATTATTATTATTATTATTATTATTATTATTATTATTATTATTATTATTATTATTATTATTATTATTATTATTATTATTATTATTATTATTATTATTATTATTATTATTATTATTATTATTATTATTATTATTATTATTATTATTATTATTATTATTATTATTATTATTATTATTATTATTATTATTATTATTATTATTATTATTATTATTATTATTATTATTATTATTATTATTATTATTATTATTATTATTATTATTATTATTATTATTATTATTATTATTATTATTATTATTATTATTATTATTATTATTATTATTATTATTATTATTATTATTATTATTATTATTATTATTATTATTATTATTATTATTATTATTATTATTATTATTATTATTATTATTATTATTATTATTATTATTATTATTATTATTATTATTATTATTATTATTATTATTATTATTATTATTATTATTATTATTATTATTATTATTATTATTATTATTATTATTATTATTATTATTATTATTATTATTATTATTATTATTATTATTATTATTATTATTATTATTATTATTATTATTATTATTATTATTATTATTATTATTATTATTATTATTATTATTATTATTATTATTATTATTATTATTATTATTATTATTATTATTATTATTATTATTATTATTATTATTATTATTATTATTATTATTATTATTATTATTATTATTATTATTATTATTATTATTATTATTATTATTATTATTATTATTATTATTATTATTATTATTATTATTATTATTATTATTATTATTATTATTATTATTATTATTATTATTATTATTATTATTATTATTATTATTATTATTATTATTATTATTATTATTATTATTATTATTATTATTATTATTATTATTATTATTATTATTATTATTATTATTATTATTATTATTATTATTATTATTATTATTATTATTATTATTATTATTATTATTATTATTATTATTATTATTATTATTATTATTATTATTATTATTATTATTATTATTATTATTATTATTATTATTATTATTATTATTATTATTATTATTATTATTATTATTATTATTATTATTATTATTATTATTATTATTATTATTATTATTATTATTATTATTATTATTATTATTATTATTATTATTATTATTATTATTATTATTATTATTATTATTATTATTATTATTATTATTATTATTATTATTATTATTATTATTATTATTATTATTATTATTATTATTATTATTATTATTATTATTATTATTATTATTATTATTATTATTATTATTATTATTATTATTATTATTATTATTATTATTATTATTATTATTATTATTATTATTATTATTATTATTATTTTTATTATTATTATTATTATTAGTAGTAGTAGTAGTAGTATTAGGATGTTTTTACTTGGACTGTAATTTGCTGGTCTGGTCTAGTCTGGTCTGGTCTGGTTTGTTTTGGTCTGGTTTGGTCTGATTTGGTTTTGAGCCGGATGAACCGGTTTGGTTCCGGTTTTGAACCGGATAAACCGATTCGGTTCCGGGTAAAAACTGGAATACATCCGGTCCGGTTTGGTACGGTCCGGTCCAGTTTTGAACCGGTGCGCACCCCTAATAATAACAACAATAACAATAACAATAACAATAACAATAACAATAACAATAACAATAACAATAACAATAACAATAACAATAACAATAACAATAACAATAACAATAACAATAACAATAACAATAACAATAACAATAACAATAACAATAACAATAACAATAACAATAACAATAACAATAACAATAACAATAACAATAACAATAACAATAACAATAACAATAACAATAACAATAACAATAACAATAACAATAACAATAACAATAACAATAACAATAACAATAACAATAACAATAACAATAACAATAACAATAACAATAAAAAAATGTATGAATAATGGGTAAACTATAAATCTTTTTAGAACAAAAAAAAGTACTATAAAATAATAAATATCATCATGCATGCGTTGCTCTGGGTTTCTGAACGTCTTCCCAAATTTGTTTCGCAATTTCCACGCGAACATTGTTCATAGCTTCTTTTCGCCCATTGTTGAACATATTTGAATCAACCATGCCTTCTCCATTCCCTTCATGTTCATAAATTGGGATTCCCATTTTGCACATGCTGATAAAATTATGAAGTGTAAAAGTAGAGAAAATAATTGCTTGTTGATGCTCTTCTTTCATTTTGGGCATATTGTGAAGTATCTTCCACCTTTTCTTCAGATGCGAAAATGCTCTTTCAATGGTAGTTCTCAGGGATGAGTGGCGATAATTAAAATGTTCCATTACTCCTCTTGGTTTACCACCGCCACGAAATTCTGGCACGTGTTTCCTCATTCCCGCATCATCAAATGGAGCTAAATATCCAAGTGTGTTTGGATATCCTGAATCTACTAAGTAATATTTACCTACATTTTAAATTGACTTTGTTAAAATGATACTATTTTATATTTACATAAACACATTATAATAAATTTATTTGTATTTTATACCTGGTGGGGGATGAGGAAAATGATATTTTGATTGCATTAAGGAATCAACCCACACTCTTACGTCATGAGCGCTTCCTTCCCAGCCAATATTGACAAACGTGAATAGTTTATCAAATGAACAACATGCTAAGACATTCCAGGTTTTGCTTCCTCTGCGTCCTCGAAACGGCACCCCCTTTGCATCTGATATAACTGCTTCTATGTGAGTACCATCTAATGCTCCAACTGAATCCTAATACAATAAATAAAAAGCATAAATAAAGTCTAACACATATACAAAAATAAATTATTTTTCATTGACTTTTAAGAAACGATGAATAATTCATAAATATACCTTGAAATACGGCCAATATAAGGAACTGTTGAAAACTATGGTGTGGACGTCCAACAAATTGTGATGTGGTCGAATTATGTCAAAAGATAACTCAACCAAGGCATGCAATACTAGATTAAAATATTTGCATATGGTTCTCAAAGAATGCTTAAAAACATCAGCTGCATCTGTGTAAGAAGCTCCCTTGGCCAATATATAGAGACCAATTCCAATTTGCTCTGCCACATGAATGAATCTGCTGTCTTTCAATAAATTTCTTTCAACCATAATATTCACAAGGTGGATGAACATTTCTCTCGTCAACCTTAATTTCTCTTTACACAATCCAGGATGACCATTCAACATTCTATGTATATATTCACCTCCTGTTTCTCCACCTACTCTCATTGGTATCCTAGTCTTCTTTTGTTCATCATCTTCTAGTAATGATCTGAGCTCTTCTAATGCAATAATTAGACATGACCGTCTAACTTCAACATTCATTCTACACAAGTAAAATAATGAATTCCAATTCACATTAAAACAAATGGTAAACACATGTCATATCAACGATAACACGAGATGTTTGTAAAAGATAATGATCCACATAATTTTAGTTCAAACAAACATATAAAAAGTTCAAAACGAGTAAACTAAATTTTAGCATGCTGAAAATAAATCATCTTAAGTTCAAAACGGGATATAAAAATCTTAGTTGCCGTAAGGAACTCCTTTCTGTAGAAACATCCACCTCTGATTTTCAGATCGAAGTGTCACAAAGACCTCACCCTTATTACCTTCACTTAAGAAGGTCATAGCATCCACATAATATTGATCACCGTATTTCTTATCAACCTCCATCTCATCAAGAAGCTTAGCCACCTTTTCGATCACAGATTGCTCTTTTGCAGAAGCAAGTTTCACAATTTCTAAACATCTATCTATTTCCCCTCGCTTTCGTGCTAAGCTTTCATCGACGTTGTTTTTTCCTTTTCGCTTCTTAGTTGATGCAGATGATTGATCTACCATAATAGGTGAATCACTTTTTTCACCATACACTGTATCATGACTTTCATTTTCATCCGAACTATCACTGCCGGTATCAAAAGATTCTTCGGTGTTTATGTTCTGAGTCTTTTGGACCGCGACATTACTCTTGAGAATGGGTGTTGTCCTAGCGCTAGCAGGTGAGCTACCTCGTACACCATGTGCAGTCTGTCCTTGGAATAAAGCTTCTAGGTACTGAAGATATGGCATCTGCTTCTTAGCAACTGCAGCTCCATGTCGCTTATGTTTCTAAAAGATATATTTATATTTATATTTATATTTATATTTAATAATACAATTAAATAATATTAGTAAATAACTTTTATTTACAGAATAGAATTTGAAATTAAAGAAAAAGACAAGTGCATTTTTACCTCTTGATATGCTTTCCATCTATCTAAGGAACGTTCTTCTACTTGAACTTCACCCGTAACTGGATCAAAATTTATGCCAGTGCAATTTTGAAGGTCGACCCATGCTTTATATTTATCTTTCAACTCACTAAAGTGATTTCGCGCTTTCTTACAATAAAAAAGAACACCCGTTTGTACATGAAGGTTGTTTACAATTTTATTCCAATCATATTTAGTATTCCCTTTTGCTTTTTCTTCAGCACAAATCTTCAAAAATGTAGTTGTAGTGGTGTCATTCCAAGGTGTCCTCTTTGACATTGTCTATAATTGATAGTAAAATAATACATAATTATAACTAAATTGTATATAACTTCGAATTGAAACCCACAATCAATAATTAATGGTAAATTAATTAGAAAATTATTATTTTCATAAATTTATATATTGACTGATAAATAATAACGAAAGGTAATGAACTTAAAACAAATAATTAATTAATATTGACAATATTAATTTGTGTAAAAGGAAATAGTATTAAATAATAACACTTTTTCTAAAAATCATAGTTTTCAATAATAAATAATGAACTAACGCATGAGATCTAATTCAAACCGGCGCTCATGCGAGACCTTTTCCTTCTACTTGAACATCCGTATCCTTTAATTTAATTCTAGACATGTATATGACTGTATATTGATATATATAATTATATATTATATATAACTATAAAACTTAAATAAAAATACTAAAACACTTAAGCCAGACGATGTGACGAGAAGAGAGCAGAATCACCTGCTAAGTTGTCTGCTTCCTGGAGTTGCTGGGGTTCGTCTGCGGCAACTCTTCTACGGCCAATTGCAATAATTTATATATACGAGTATACTGGGCCAATTGCCTAATTTTATCTTTTGTCCTGTTTTTATTTGGATTAGTCTAGTGTACACTGATATGATCTGGTCTAGTTTGAGTTGTTCTGTATTTTTATAATCTGGTCTGATCTGCTTCGGTCTGGGATTGAAATAAATCCAAGTAAAACGATACCAATTTTCGATAATTTGGAAGGAATATTATTATTTTTAATTATAAATGAATAAAATATATTTATTTATGGATTATAATATATATCAAAAATAAAATCTTTATGCAAAAAAAATTAAAAAAAAAAAAATCAGACCAGACCAGACCAGACCAGACCAGACCAAAACAGACCAGACCAGACCAGACCAGACCAAAACAGACCAGACCAGACCAGACCAGACCAGACCAGCAAATTACAGTCCAAGTAAAAACATCCTAAAATGCATAAACATGTCGTTCTAGAAAGAATCCCTTGCACTCCCAAAGATGAGGGATTCACTATGGCCGTCTCTAAATCAAAGAAGCGGAATGAGGGTTTGACGGGGCCTGTTCAAACACGAATTGAAACCGTGATCAACAACTCCGGGAATATATCCTTAACTTTCTTTTATGCAATTTCCCCGCACTTGTTTCCTCTTTCTTTAGTTTTATCACTCTTTTCTGTATTGTACTCAAACTTATTTTTAATTATATATGCAAGGTAAATGTCTTTTGGCATTCACCCCCTTTAAAAAACGCATAAACAGTTTTAGGATTAAATCAAGAAAAATTAACAATACAATCGATTTTTTAGACAAAAATTATATTTGTAAAATTTTTTGTTCAGTGACAAATTGTCCATAAGTTGTTTATATACACAAATAATTTATCCATTTTTGGATAAATTAATCTTTATAGAAAAAAGTGTGCAACACACAAGACTCTTAAAGACCAATTTATATTATTTTTGAAGTTCTAGTCAATTTCTTCTTCATCATTATCCCAGTGTCGCAAAGGCTCCCACCATTGGTGGTGTAAGGGAAGTCAGATGTACACAATCTTACCTATGTACTACATCACATAGAGACCGTTTCCGAATGACCCATATTGAAAATCTCCATCGAAACTTGCATGGACGGATTGATGCTTCATAAAAAAGAAGCGCGAACAATTTATTGAGTTGTTTTGCTTTATTCCATCATATTTCCAATTAAAAAAAACAGTGAGTCCTTAGTTCATATATATGTGGGTTTTGAACGCTTTGTAAGCATTTAAGATTTTGGATGTTTTACGTGTGATTAATTTAGATATCGGTTGGGCTCTACAAAATTCTCAGTTTTATGCGTACCACGTCTGATTCAGGTTAAGCCGGATTACCAGTAAATTCCGAGTTTAACCATATTAGTGGGTTTGTCACGCCCCAGACCGCAATCCAAGCGCGTGTACAACCGCCGTATAACTAAGTGACGTCACCCACGAGTCAACCTCACTTAATTACACAAGGCGTTCGAGAAAAACAATCCATCCATACTCAGTAGTAAACATACATAACAACATCACATTTAAACCAATGAATAACGGAAATATTCAACGGTAAGTCATGAGCCACAACCGGCCAACAACATGGGCATGCAAGCCCCAAAAATAGTTTATAGTAAAACAAATATCCATGAGCAAGCGTTCGGTAGTTTGAAAGAAAATAAGGAAGCACGAACCACGTCTTCCTGATATGATATCACCCGTGAGAAGGTGCAAGTAGCAAGCCCTAGCTTCAACCTGAAAATGGTGGCCCCCCCGAAGGGGTCAGTACAAGTACCGAGCGAGTAGCAGGCTAAATATAGAATAACTAACGTTTCAAGTATAAGACCCAAACATAGGGTGATACTTAAATAGATAGTCTTTCCCCCAAGTTATGAAATACTTATTAGTATATATATACTTGGAAAATATCTGATCCGTAGATCACCGTTTTATTTGGGAAAAATAGTAATAGTCAATATTCTTGACTAGAAACCCCAACCCACCCATATACCTATGAGTGTATAGGACTCCACCGGTTTGTTAGTGTTAAGGACTCATAAGTCCTAGGGTCCTCCACCAAGTTTTGAGTGTTAAGTACTTTTAAGTACTAGGGTCCTCCACCAAGTTTGAGTGTTAAGGACTTTTAAGTCCTAGGGTCCTCGACCAAGTTTTGAGTGTTAAGTACTTTTAAGTACTAGGGTCCTCCACCAAATTTTGAGTGTTAAGTACTTTTAAGTACTAGGGTCCTCCACCAATTTATAATCCGAGTGTTAAGGACTTTAAGTCCTAGGGTCCTCCACCAATTTATAATCGGAGTGTTAATGACTTTTAAGTCCTAGGGTCCTCCACCAAATTTTGAGTGTTAAGTACTTTTAAGTACTAGGGTCCTCCACCAAAATATTTTCCTATGATCAACCTTCTATCAATCTAGATAGAGTCTATATCATACTTAGTTACTCATAACTAATTCAATACATAAAGCTTATGTATCACAATCCATGCAAAACCATGCATTCATATAGATTTATTAAATTTATACCAACCGGTATTAATTAAATCCTTTGTCCATCGGTCAACGTTTTCGTTGACCGCCATTTCATGTCTTGTGTGTATCAACTTAATCATCATATAATTAAGTTAATAATATTCATTTGTGCTTCTAATACACTTCAAACAAATATGCATTTCATATAATTCTTCATATCATATTCCATGCATCAACAATTAATTTCTTTCATACAAACTTAACCCTATTGGCTAATCACATGTTTAAATATCTTTTAAACGTCATTATGAACTCATATAACATTTATTTAGGTAATCTCATAATTAACCCAAAAGTTATAAGATATTAAGCCGTCCACTCACCTTGAACTAGCGTTATGAAGTTCTACCCTTCTTGGTTGAACTCCGGTGAAACTCCGGCGACTTTTGGTCAACTCCGGCGACAACTCCGGTGACTTTTCCAACTTTGTGAAACCAATTGAAATACCCTTTACAAGTGCCTAACAAGGTTTTATAATCATAAAACCCATGTTAATACAAATAACCTCAAAAAGGTTATTTTCCGGTGAACATGTCGTTTTGGCTTCTAAGTCCGTTCTTGGACATAGAATCACTTTCCAACCCATAAATCCATACTTATAACATGTAGAACCCTCTTAAGGATCCTTCACATGATATATATCTTATATGGTAGAAGAAAAATAAAGGAAAAGTTATAATAAGGTCATTACTTTAATTTTACACCCTTTTCCTCACTTTTTCCCTTCTTTAATTCCCCTCCTTGGACCACTCTTGCTTGAGCTCGAGTTGTAGCAATGGAGAATAGCTTGAGAGCTTACTCTTCCTCCTCATTTGATAGGTTGGTCGAAATTATGGGGTGGGTGAGTGAGGAGATAGCCTCTTTGGCTTTTCTCTCAAAATAATGTGGGAATGGGTCCTCCCCATTGTACCTTTGATGCCAGATGCATCTCCTCCTCATTTCCACTTGTCAACCCAGCCCTCAATTGATGTGTTTAGCACATAAAAACGTGGGGTGGCCCCCACTCATGTGGGAGGTCATCCCTTTGTGTCCCGATGTGTACAATCGGTCCCGAAAGTTGTATTTTTCGGACTGTTTTAAATATATTTTATTTTATAGGGTCAAATAAAATATATTATGTGCTCTTACTCATTATGACATGTATAATGAATATACATTCCCCAACTTTAATTTATAAGCCTCCGAAATTCAGTTCGGGCTGTTATCTGTTAAATTACCAGTACCGGTAATTTGGGCTTCTTTTGACCAATCGGTCAACTCCGGGCCTTTCCATGGCCCAAATGAAATATCCACCACTATATATTTATTATCTAGACCAAGATGAATAAAATATATGGTCTCGGGAATGTCGGGCGGCCCCCGCTCCCGGTGTGGGTCCCACGTGCAATTTACTATTCACGCGAAAGTATTAATAAAAATTTACAACTTCGTAAATTCATAAATCATTCCATAAGGTTTATTACATCATTTACTTGAAAGTAAATAAATTTGGGGACGGTGTTACAGGGTTCGTGTTCAACCGGACCGGTTCCTGTGCCAGGTGGCCAGTGTTAAACTAAAATCGAGGAGCTGTTTCAGACTAATTTTTGCCGCTGAGGAGATGGCGTTGTTTGCCTAAAACCGTTCATGCCATTGGAGCGCGTGAAGTGGAAAAACATTTTTCCCCAAGCCGCTAGAGAAGGGGTTTACTTGAGGAATTAATTCCATTGGAAGAACAAAAGTTCACTTTCAATTTTAGAATGCACCGTCCAAAACTAGAGCCTTTGCAAAAGGACTTAATTGCAAATACTTGCAAAGTTGTAATTGTTAACATATCTTCAGCGTACTCTCTATTTTAATTTAAAATTTACACGTGTAATGTTCTTAGTGGGCAATTTTAGAAAATGTATGTACGGAAATCAATTCGTGTAATCAATTCATTTGAACACGAGTAATCAATTCATTTAGACCAAGTCCATATAGTAAACCATGGTCCGTAGCAAACCCATGGTATGACAAAATAGAACTTACATATGAACTAACAAAATCTAATACCAGACCAAGTCCATATAGTTAGACCGTGGTATGTAAATTCTATTTTAACCATGGTACTCCATATGAACTTACTATGTAAGTTCTTATGTAAGAACCCTAGAACTTACATTGGATGTGGTCATGTAAGTTCTATTTTAACCATTATACTCCATAGGGTTTGCAAATTCGTTTAGACCAAGTCCATATAGTTCTACTTACATTGGTTAAAATAGAACTTACATTGGACTGTCATTAATTAAAAAAACATAACTTACAAATAATCCCAAAATATTAAAGATCCAAGGTTGAAAATCTCTCAAGATTTCGTGCTAGGCTCTCTCGCTAAGTGCTCCCCTAAAAACAGAGGTTAATAGGATGTTTAAATAGAAAACGGAGCAATTCTGGCCAAAAAAGGACCCCTGGAGCACACGCACAACGCCCACGCACGCCTTGCGTGGCGTTCGTAGCAAAAACGTAGAAAAATTGTCACGCACAACGTGCGTGGCCTCTAGTAGCCTCTGCGTGATTTCTTCTTCCGTGCACGACGTGCATTCTTCGGGTGCACGGCTTGCGCATCTCTTGTCTGAGTTTGACTATGATTCTCTTCACCTAAGTTGTATATAATGAAGTCCTCTATCCACCACAACTTGTAAAAGCGGAATTTAATCATCCAATCAAAAGATATGAATAAAACGGTGGAAGGTCGCATTCTGAAATCCCAACAACGATTATCTGACTTCCTCGTCTGTTTCCACATTGATCCTCTCACATTCTCGCCATGGTGTCTGCATATTATTTGTAGCCCTTTAAATTATCTTTCATATGAAACTTAAATCCTGTCATTTT